ATTGCGAATGCATATGCACCCCTTCTCTAGCCTTCTTTTCGTTTTGTTGCTTCTTTTTCTTTTTTAGTTGTAAAAAGCTCACTTATCATAAGTATCCTAGCGGATTGTATAATACAAAAGCAAATATCGCAAACCAAGATTTCAACTAATCGAAAACGCTAACGTAAGCCCAGCAAATGAAGTTAAAACTAAAACTAATGCTAACACACTTAGATTGTGTGCGAGCAAGGAATTCAACTATTTAAGCCTAGAATTTAATTTATATATGTGTATATATACAAATACATATATTATTAAAGTAAATAAAAACAGCAGCAGCCTACGGAAAGTTTTGTAAATGTATAGAGCAAAAGCAAGTGTAATTTAAAATTAGGCACAATAATTGTTTTAAAAATGTCATTCAGAAATAGCCGACGATTTACGTTAGTCACAGAACTACAAAAGCGAGTACTCGACAATTTTGTGAAACTTATTACAGTATACAAAATAAAAAGTAATGTACGAAACCATTAAGAAATCACAGTCTATCTAATTACCCATAAAAAGTTTCATTAATTTATTACGAATAAATTATGCCGCTAAGCTGAACTTGCATCTTTTGATCTTTAACAACGGTGTATACCCAGCAACCACAAAGCAACAATATCAAATGCAGATTAAACAGAAATGCAGAAAGGGACTAACCATAAGATCGATCCACTTCACAGCGAGCATTAAATTAGTAAATTGTTGTAATCAAAAAACAAAATAGACTGTAAGTCCCACACTCTTGGTTTGCAAATGCAATACGTTTTGTATGCGTAATAGCCATTTTTGTGCAAACATTACCTATGTAATTAATATTATACAAATACAAAAACAAAAATATGTAGAAAATTAGGTGAAAATGGAGTGGAGCATTTTTTCAATAAAATCACTAAAATTAATTATTACATCCTTAATTTCAATTTCGCAGAAACTGCATTTTCAGATCACGAAATTAAGGGTTATACATATATTGCGTTGCTCATATGTTGCGTTAAATATTATTTTATTAACATTATTGTTGAATGTGTTAATTTGAATGTGCTAAATTATACACGTGTGCTGTCGCATTTACTTATAAATTGACGGAAATAGTAAAGTTAGATCTTAGAACTAAAGCTTTTGCTAAGAACTACGTGTGATAAGCTGACCGTCGTAGAGGGGCAAAAACAAAATATTATTCTAAAAGGGAGGCAATTTTACAATTCAATGTGTCAAGTCAAACAACGTCAAGATCTTCCTAAACTCAAAATGTAATCAAACCAGCTTCGAAAGTTAATATGGCTTTTGAACTTAGCAGCATTAGACCTCGGGCTCGTTGCTTTATTCCTTGCGGTTTTAGTAGGAAGTGTGGGTGGCCAGGTGCTGCAGTCGCGCTATGCTTGGAAGTGAGTTAAAGCCACAGCCGAAGGCGACACATTGGGTAGGTTATAACTGTATATTAGAGATTTTAAAACACTTAAGACTATGCCTGCGATGCTTAGTTACGTCGCGTTCGCCGACGGGCATTTCCAGCAAAGGTGTTGTGCGCCCCCGGATGTTGACCGCTGTACAAGTTGTCTAAGAACTCATGCAATGTAGCCTCGCTGAAAAATGAAATTGTTTCATTTGATGTTTGCATATTGCTTAAGGAAGTTCGGCCTTACCTAACGCCGCTTACTCCCCCGCCGGGATGATGCACACCCCGATCGTGATGTTGTTGCTGCGGGTGCTGGTGGTGGTGCTGTTGCTGCTGCTGGTGTTGTTGCTGCTGCGCGCCGCGCACAATGCGGTACTGCACCATGTGCGAGTTTGGTTCCAAATGTGACAAGGCTCCTTTTTGGCAGTTGGCCCACTCGGTTATGTCGTAGACCTTGCCGTCCATTAGCGCTAAATATTTCCACCGCAAGCCCATTATGCTTGTCTCGGCCCAAATGTCACCCTATCGCGAAAACAAAAACATTTTACATTCACATATACAAATGTCCAACTGTAGATCTCTGCATCCTTACATCTTTGGCGGAGTGCCGTATTTTACAGGAGGCGCACTCCCGCGCCGCATAGTGAGGGCGTTCGGTAAGCTTGCGAGGATGACGCTGGGCACAAGTGCTACACCTGTTTGAAACAGGCCGCGAACAGAACGGTTAGTGGTTCGCTATTTATGGAGTCTCGGTCTCGTTCGGTACATACGCACCTTATGGTATTGGCAGCCTCAGCCATTTTGGTTTGCAGTTGGGAAAGCAGGTCGTGCAACTCCGTCCAAGCCTTCTCGGTGTGTAGAGTCTCGGCAATGCTTTGGTCGTAAACAAGACGATTTTCCTACAATAAAAAAAAACAACTTTTAAAATTAATATCATTTTTACTGGCAATGCTTTACCGGTTCTCCGATTAACTCAAAGGCGCGCTGCAGCACCTTAAAAGCCTCCTCAGCACCGGCTTGTTTGTTTTTGTCGGGATGTACGAGCACGGCAATCTTCTTGTAGTGCTTACGGATCTGTTCCTGTGAGCTATCTGGCGGGACACCAAGTATGCTAAAACAATAAGAAACAACTGTTGCACAAGTTCAATAATAGTTGAGCAGAGCTCACCTGTATGCATCCTTTCCCTTGCAATTAAGCAGAGAATACATTGCTTCTTCCCCCGTTTGAGGCAGGCGGCCAGTTTTGAACTGCTCAGAACTGAGTTCTGGCGGTTTGCGTTTGTAGAACCGTCGCCATATGGCCAGGCGCGAGTTCTTGGCAAACCGAGCGTCGAATCGGCGCCAATAACTTCGCCACCATATGCTTGGCTTGCCAGAGTTCTGCTTCAGTTCCTTTTGGAGCTGCCGCGCATAAGCCAGTGCAGCCATGTAGGCCAACGTCATCCGCTCGTATCCCATGCTAAAGCCCAAAACAACGATATCGTACACCAAATAAAACAGCCACGTTAAAAGTTTCAGGGTGTAAATCCACCAGGTGTGCAGAATACGTTTGGCCAACTCGTAATTGCGGTTACTGGAAAAGCTATTGGCATGGGTAGGCGAGTTTGTCGACGAGTAGGCATTGCTTCGATTGCGCTTCGATGAGTAAGAGTAGCCGGAACTGTTATTCGGGTTCAGATTCGAGGAGGAATACCGCTTGGATGAAGAAGAATTAACATTGTTATTGCTGGAGTAATTTACGCTGCTACTGTTATTGCTGCTTCCCGTATTTGGGTTTGCGCCAGTGTGATTCGAGTGACTCGCGTTGGAGTTGATTTTGTTACTGCCTGATTTACGTGAAGTGCTAAAGTTGGTCGCCGGAGTAAAATTGATACCATTGCTGTTGTTCTGCAAGCTGCTGTTGGCGGGTACAGATGATGAAGTAGTCTTTTGCTCCGAGGCCTTTTGGGCGTTGCTATTCACGTTCTTCGCTTGCAGTGGCCGCTTCTTTTCCTGATTAGCCAGTTTGTTTAATTTAATCTGCGACTGTAGAGTTGGCTGTGGTAGATACTGAGACTGTTGCACCTTGAGCCCCGCAGTCTGGTTGGCTTGAGCTCGCTTCTTGCCTCGGCTGGCATGCGCATGACCAACACCGGCCACAAGCGAACCCGTCTCCTTGGCATCATGCAGCGGCGAACGTTTTGACGTGCGCATCTCGCGAATTCCACATCCATCCTCCTTTTCCGGACGCCTCTGCTGTTGTGTACTGCAGTCCCCTCCGTTGTTTCCGCGCATTTCGCCTCCTGAAGCGCTGGGTTTTGTGCCTTTACTGAGCACATCGGAGTATGACATTGGCATGGGCTTCACCTCGGCAACGATTCGCTTCTTGCCCTCTGGTTGGCCGGACACGGCGACGCTCGACTTGTTGATCGCAGTTGGTGAAACGGTGGCAGTGGCCAAAGGCATTTTCAGAGACTTGGCTGACTTGGAAGCCGCTGGCAGTGTACTGACGGATTGCGACAGTGAATCAGGCTGCTGTAGGATATGATTAGGAGCCTGCGGTTGTTGGGTTGCCGAAGGCTCGCTATGGTGGCTGTCGTTCTCGTTGGCCGCACCACCAAATTGAATGTAGCTTCCCCCAGTCAAGTTGGGCGACCAGTTGTTTACCAAGTTGTTAATGAGCAGGTTAGCACTGCTCGACGATTGATTGACTTGCGACACTGTTGGCGCCTGAGTCTGCGTCTGTTGGGTCTGTCGATGCTGGGCGTCTTGCTGCTGTGCCTGCGGTAAAGTCAAAGGATTCGTGGCAAACAGTTCATACAGTGGAGTCGGCTGCTGAGGTGTCGGCGGAGCGGTCTGGTGCTGGTGCTGCAGCTGATGGTGATTAATTGAGGCCATGTTGATATGCGTGAAAAGTGGAGCGCCGGCTTCGCTAACCTGGTTGTCCGGGCAGTGGTATACTTTAAGGAAGTTTCCGTGTCCCACAGGCAGCACCGAATAGGTCTCTGCCTGGCCAGGCTGACCGGAGTAGGACAGATTGAACAGATACTCATTGTACATGTGCGGTTGTGGCTGCTGTTGCTGCAGATGGGGTGCAAATTGGGGGGCGGCTAGGTGCGGCGGCGGAGGTGGCCACATCAGCGGGACAGGTGCTTGTCCATGCTGCTGCTGGTGGATCAGATAGTTTTGGCTTTGGTGCTGATGCTGATGCTGCTGTTGATGTGCCAGGTAGTTGCCCACGTCTTCAGTGTGGTGCAGGACGCGAAAGGGTGCAGACTCGGAGCCGCCCCCTCCAATCTCGTCGTCCTGACGAGTTGCCATGTCCTGCGATGGTGGCTATGCTTTTTGCGCACCAGCTCTGCCCTGCTATTGGAATTTCAAGCGTGATCCATGAGTGCACCGAGAGCAAGTCTTTCACGGAATTGCTGCAGCTGAAAGTGAGTCGTTTTCTGTGGTTCTAGCCCACTTTTTCACTCCAAATAATTTGCGGAGCGTCCGTGTGTAAGTGTTTTATATCTTTTTATTGCAAACGTCAAATGTAGTGTTGCCAGATGGGCGGAATTCCATTTTCCCAACTGGCCTCGACCAGCCCTGAAAAATGTCCCTCCAAAATAAATTCAAAAATACTTTCAAACTATACAACTAAAATCGCTGTTGAATTATTAATCGAGGTTTTTTCTAATCAAAAAAACTAATTTCGCTAACTTTTTCATTGCCATCAATCAGCCCTTTTTACGATATGTATATCAATGATCATGCAGCCCTGGTTAATATTTGTTGTTTGAAACGTTGCAGCCAAATGATTTTTAAACAATCAAAATATGTCTTCTGTCCGACCGCTGGTGACCGTGGTGCGGGCCGGGCAGCATAGCTACTCTGCAGGACTACAGCTACAGCAACGTCTGGCTAAGTCCAACCAGATCCTGGTTCCGCCAGCGGAGTTCCGAAACTACCTGGTGCTTCAGGAGCACGAGCCGGTCTACACAGTCGGACTGAGAACGAAGGACTATACGGTGGAGGATGAGGACCGACTCCGCCGGCTAGGAGCGGACTTCCATCGTACAGATCGCGGTGGCCTGATCACATTTCACGGCCCCGGCCAGTTGGTGGCCTATCCCATTCTGCACCTGGGACAGTTCACGCCGAGTATCCGCTGGTACGTGGCGACGTTGGAGAGAATGGTTGTCGAGGCTTGCCAACAGATGGGCATTCGCGGTGCCAAGGCGACCAAAGACACCGGTATCTGGGTGGGTGATAACAAGATCTGTGCCATTGGTGTCCACGGCTCGCGTTACGTCACCACACATGGAATCGGCCTCAATTGCTGCACGGATCTGCGCTGGTTCGAGCACATTGTGCCCTGCGGTATCGAAGGCAAGGGGGTCACCTCGCTCAGTAAGGAGCTGGGCAGACATTTTTCGGTCCAGGAGGCCAGTGCCGCCCTCCTCACAAGTTTCGCCAAAGTGTTCGAATGCCGCCTTCAGGAACAGGTCACAACACCAGCTAATCCTGCTGAAATCGGTTAATACGGTTTTTTGATACAACATTTATAAATTAGGAAGGCCTCGATACATATTTCCTGACCTTGTGGTCTTTCACCATTATGCCATACAACGTAAAAGAAATGGAAATGTGTAAAATAGGTAGTAATAAAATTTTATTAAAACTATTTACATATAAGGTACCACTGTCAGTTCCTTTTTTCTCCAAATCTATATTAAGATCTTTGCAATTTTATACCGTATAAAAAACTCAGCGAAAAACAGCCAACAAATAATGTTGCCCTGAATTGAATTTCCATCCAAGTTAGTGTTCAACGGAGATCACACAAATCGAGCCTTATTCAGGTCACACTTTTTGGAGCGCCCATCCGTGGGTATCTTTCCCCGTGCATTCATCTCCACACGAGCCTGTTCCCGCAGCTCTGCCTTCCGCATACGACGCTCCTTGCGTGACTCCAGAGCATTGTTAAAATAGCGATCCCTGAAGTCCTGCGAGAGCGTCGTCACCTGTGTTGTGCTGCCCAATAAGGGTTGTGTCGGACTATACTCGGAACACTTTTCATAGGTGAGTAGCCGTCTAGCAGTGTTTCCAGTCAATTGTTGCTCTGAGTTGGCTATCAGGTTCAGATTCTGATGCTGTGGCAGCATCTTGGGGTCGTAGTCCTCGCTGTGAAAGGGTAGCCAGCAGACAAGTCGACCTCCCATTTTCAGGTGCTTCGCAGCGAACTCAAGTAGGTCCCCATAGAGGCTCTGCAAGGAATAGTGCGACGTTGATGGATAATGAACCATGTTCTCACTTCTAGTGTCGGCCCTCAAGCTAATCTTCTTCTCCACCTTTTCCGTGGCCTCTCTTATTCCGTATGGAGCTTAAATAACCAAAGGAACTGGCAAGATGAATAATTTAAGTTGGGGGTAAAACTCAATAAACCTACGGTCTGTTATTATGCTGTCGAACGAGATACGAGAATCCCACACCGGGTTGGAGAAGTCGGCCACCACCACATCCATGTAGCGGTCAGCGCAACCGTACTGCTTCAAGTTGGCCCGGATGCTCTCGTCCTTCTCACGCACTTTTTGGGTTATGCGGCTCGGCCGGCAGCGGGCATGCACCATCATGTAATCTATGTCAGCTCCCAGGACATACCCGCCCCACTTGGCGGCGCTCACCAAAAGTGAGCCTGTCCCCACAAACGGGTCAAATACCAGGTCCCCATCACGTACCATAGCCTGGTTGGCCATTAGCAGGCTAAGTTGAGCATCCATGCTGGTGTTGCCGATAAACTTTCGCTGCTTAAGCGAAAGCTCCTTGATCAAATGCCGCTGGCCATTTGCCACCAGTCGACCAAACATAATTTCCTCAGGCTCAGGAGGCACGGCCGTAGGATTCAGGCCCCAAAACTCAATGTACCACCACTCCACCTGGGGATTCTTCAGATTGACCGGACCCTCTATAGGCAGGTAATCCATGGACTCGATTTTCTCGACCTTTTCCTTCTGACTGAAGTGCTTGTTGTAGGTCTCCACAACTATTTTAAAACTAGACTCCAGTCGAAAGTATTCCGCAAGGGTGCCCCAGTTCTCGGTAACATGATTCCGAAGCCTCTGGTGAAACTCGGGTAATTTGTTGGAGTGGGCGTAGAGCTCAAACATGGCGCGCAACGAAATGGATCTGGATGCGTATTGCAACGCTGTATCCGTGTCCCGAAATTCGACCAGCCAAAATGGTTTCTGTAAGTTAAAGTTCCAAAAGTTATTAGTAAAGGTGATAATTCCTGGTAGTATATGGTGGCTCTGAAAGCTCTGAAAACCGCCAAACTTTTAAAATTTTTTTTATATTCTTTAACTAACTTGGTGGTTTCACTTGTTTGGCTGAAATACCCTTTGAAGATGAATGTCACTAAAATCTGCATGGTTTTTATTATAATTATATTTTCGTAGTTCCCGATATCTCAAAGATCATATGTATGAACAGGTAGACGGATTCGGCTGATCCTGATCAAGAATATATGCATGTATATACGTTATAGACTCGGAAACGCTTACTCCGACCTGTTACATACCTTTTAGAGAATCTAGTATACATCCCATTTTTTCTTCCTCTTAATATTATCAAAATATTTAACAAAATTATCAATAAAGATACAAGTTTGGACATACATATGTAGATACAAAGGTACATGAAAACCACAGGTTTAAACTGTCAAATGAAAGGTAGATTTGGTTATTGTTGCGGTTTTGTGTCTGTACACAAAGTTTTATAATTTTAAAAGGTTCAATATTGTTCTATATATTCCCAAATACGTAAATGTACTTTCAAAATTGTGGCACTGCAACACTTTACCATGGTGTGTTCAGTGAGCCGTCGGACCTGAAGTCCAAACATTTTGACCAGTGAGTCAAATTCCTGCACTCGAAAGTCCACATGCTCTTGGGCGAACCACAAGATAAACTTCCTCCAGTTGGCCATTTAAGAATTATTTGTTTATTTACTATTTAATATAACTTCATTACTCCTCGTGTTATTGCTTTCATCTAGCAGAGTTGCATTGCGTTTGACTGACCATCGGCAACTATCGACCAGCACTATCGATAACGCAGCCAGGTGCAGCCCTGCATGCCGTCAAATCCGCCATTTTGCATGAATCCCGCAGCCACACGTAGGCGAGCCGAAGATTTTTACAATTTTCAGCAGCCCCAGGTCTAAGAACGGTCCAGACCTGCTACCAAAATCAACTTGAAGTGTCGCCGCAAGTAAGTAAAGCGATCGGAAATGGCCCGTTACACGCAACGCCCGGAAAACGCCCTCAAAAGGGCTAATGGTGAGTGCTGAAAATTTTCCATGCGGTGTCTGAAGAGAAACTTTCGGCACATCGAATCATGCGCTCTCTTAACTCGACGCCGCTCTCTTCGTCGTAGAGTTCATCGAGGTGGGAAAGCCGCTAAGGGCACTGGACACGCTGCAGGAAGTTTTCCGGAACAAGCGATGGAACTACGCTTACTCGGAGACGGTCATCGAACCGCTGATGTTCAAGTACCTGTACCTCTGCGTGGAACTCAAGAAGTCTCACATTGCCAAAGAGGGTCTCTTCCAGTACCGGAACATGTTCCAGCTGGTGAACGTGAACTCTCTGGAAAATGTGATCCGCGGCTACCTGAAGATGGCTGAGGAGCACACGGAGGCCGCCCAGGCCCAGTCCTCTGCGGCCGTTGCTGTCCTGGAGCTGGATGACTTGGACAACATTGCTACGCCCGAGAGCATCCTGATGAGCGCAGTGTGCGGCGAGGACGCACAGGACCGCTCCGATCGCACCATCCTGCTCCCGTGGGTCAAGTTCCTGTGGGAGTCCTACTGCCAGTGTCTAGAGCTGCTGCGCGTAAACACACATTGCGAGGCGCTGTACCACGACATCGCTCGCATGGCCTTCCAGTTCTGCCTGAAGTACAACCGCAAGAGTGAGTTTCGTCGCTTGTGCGACAAGCTGCGCAAGCACTTGGAGGACATCTGCAAGAGCAGCAACCAGACCACCGGTGTCTCGATCAACAAGGTGGAAACCCAGCAGCTCTGCTTGGACACCAGGCTGTACCTTCTTGACTCGGCCATCCAGATGGAGCTGTGGCAAGAGGCCTACAAGGCAATCGAGGATATCCATGGCCTGATGGCTCTGTCCAAGAAGACACCCGTGCCCAAAACCATGGCCAACTATTACCAAAAATTGGCCATGGTCTTCAGCAAGGCTGGCAACCAGTTGTTCCACGCTGCAGCCCTGCTGAAACTCTTCCAACTGACGCGCGAGCTGAAGAAGAACCTGACAAAAGACGACCTGCAGCGTATGGCTGCCCACGTTCTCCTGGCCACCCTTTCTATTCCGTTGCCTTCGGCCCATCCAGAGTTCGACAGGTTTATCGAGGCCGACAAGAGCCCCCTGGAAAAGGCCCAGAAGTTGGCCGTGCTCCTGGGCCTGCCCCAGCCGCCCACCCGAGTTTCGCTTATTCGTGAAGTGGTAAGAATCACACAATATAATATTGTCCTACGGCTAATCCATAAACATTACCACAGGTGCGCTTGAATGTTCCTCAACTTGTGTCTGAGGACTTCCGCAATTTATACAACTGGTTGGAGGTGGATTTCAACCCACTGAATCTGTGCAAGCGCATTCAGTCTATCGTGGACTTCATCGAGAACGGGTCCGAAAACGCTTTGCTCACTCCATACATTCAGTCGCTGAAGGACGTGACTATCATGCGTCTGATTCGTCAGATCTCTCAGGTTTATGAGAGCATTCAGTTCCAGCGCCTCTTGCAGCTGGCCAGCTTCTGCAACATTTTTGAATTGGAAAAACTGCTGGTCGAGTCCGTGCGTCACAATGACATGCAGATTCGCATCGACCACCAGAAGAACAGTATCTATTTCGGCACTGATCTGACCGAGAGTCAACGTGAGTACCGCCCCGACGGACCCGCTTTGCAATCGATGCCCTCGGAACAGATACGCTCCCAGTTGGTGAACATGTCTACTGTTCTGACACGGGCAGTTTCAATCGTCTATCCGAACCGTGAACGTGACCAGCGAGCCAAGCTCCGCACCCAGATGGTGAACCACTACCATGAGATCAAGGATCGCGAGCACCAACGTATTCTTCAGCGTCAGAAGATCATCGAGGACAGAAAGGAGTACATCGAGAAGCAGAATAATGCTCGTGAAGAGGAAGAGGCGCGGCGTCAGGAGGAGGAATCGCGCAAGGCTAAACTGGCCGAACAGAAGCGCCTCGAGCAAGAGCAAGAAGAACGGGAGCGCAAGCGCCATCAGAACGAAATCCAAGCTATCCGGGAGAAGAGTCTCAAGGAGAAGGTTCAGCAAATCTCGCAGACGGCTCATGGCAAAAAGATGCTTTCCAAGCTGGATGAGGAAGGCATTAAAAAGTTGGACGCCGAACAGATTGCCAAGCGGGAGAGCGAGGAACTTCAGCGCGAGGCCAAGGAACTGCAGTCAAAACTCAAGTCGCAGGAGAAGAAAATCGACTACTTTGAGCGCGCCAAGCGCCTGGAGGAGATTCCGCTTTTCGAAAAATACTTGGCCGAAAAGCAAGTTAAGGACAAGGAGTTCTGGGAAGCAACAGAGAAGACACGCATCGAGAATGCCATTGCCGAACGGAAGGATGCCGTCGGTCAGCAGGAGCGTCTTAAGCGCATGTATCCGGATAGGGATGAATTCCTTGAGGCCCTTAAAAAAGAACGTGCCTCCCTCTATGTCGAAAAGCTCAGAAAGTTCGAGGCTGCTCTGGAGGCGGAGCGCAAAAAGCGATTGGCCGACCGCATTATTCGACGCCGCGAGGAGCGTCGACAGGCCTTCCTTCGCGAAAAAGAGGAGGAGCGTCTTCGCAAGGAGGAGGAGATTCGCTTAGCACAGGCTGCCGAAGAGCGCGCCGCAGCAGAAGCCCGTCGTTTGGAGCGTGAGGCTGACGACGAAAAGCGTCGCGCCCAATACGAAAAGCAGCGTGCCAAGGAGGAGGAAGCTGAACGCAAAATCAAGGAAGATCGAGAACGCCTGGCCAGGGATTTGGCTTCGGAGCGCGAACGCACTGAAAAGGAGCGTGACACATGGCGTCCACGAGGCGGTGACCGTCCCAGCGCACCTGCCGTCGGATCCGGAGAGTGGCGTCGTGCTGCGCCTACCGCCAGCGAACGCAACGAGCGTGGAGGCGAGCGTATCGAGCGCGGAGGAGACCGAATCGAACGTGGTGGAGAACGCATTGAACGAGGCGGTGACCGTGACCGTGACCGCAAGGACAACGAGGGAGCGGACTCCTCTTGGCGTGTGCGACGAGAGCCCGATTCACAGCGTGCTGCTGCTCCCAAAGACAGTAACGCTCAACAATCGCGCGATGACAAATGGCGGCGTGGCGGAGAACGTGACCGCGACTTTCGTAATGATGGGCCTCGTCGCGATAGGGATGATGGACCTCGCCGTGAACGTGACGATGGTCCTCGCCGGGATCGTGACGACGAGCGCGGATTCCGCCGCAACGACGGGCCACGTCGTACTGAAGAGCCTCAGCGCGAAACTGGAGGAAACTGGCGAGACGCTCCACGCAACGCTGATCGGGAAAACCGACGCCCAGCTGGTGAGAGGCGCGACCGAGATGTGCGCGAGACTCGTGGCGATCAGCGCGGCTCTGCTCCTAAAGAGGCATCCAGTGGCGGGGGAGGCGGTAACTGGCGTACCGCTCCTGCGGCACGCGAGGAAAAGCCCGCATCTAAGCGCGATCAACCTCAGGAAAAGGGTGAGTAATATCAACCTAATTGATGTCCTTACTTATGTTATATATCTTTCAGAGAACAAAGCTGCCGATGATGGCGAGTGGACCAGCGTAAAGCGTCGTTAATAATTATCTTCATTATCGTATATACCCAACATAATATTGTCAATAGGTTTTTATTTTATCCGATTTGTACTTTATTGGTATAGAGCTTAGTCGGCCGGTATATTATATCTATCCAATGCTTGTGCCAGATAGTTAGAATTGACTTGGTTGTAGGACCGATACTCACTAAAGTACTTTCGAATAAAATAACTATGTTCTAACAAATCAAACGTCTTTTGCCATTTTAGTTTCCATAAAAATTTAAAACTTAAATTTTCTGTAAATTTTTTTAAGAGCAGATTTCAGGATTAACAATAGTTCCGTATTTATGGACGGAGTATAACTTATGATAACTCATAAACCAGCCCGAGATTTAAGGAACAACTGCTTGTCGGAGTCCTTTTAAAGATATAACTAAACAAGTGCGGATATTTGATAATTAGTCGCAATTCTTGGAAGCTCGAATTTTTATCGTTAAAATCTTAACATGAAACAATTAATAAATAAAAACTTTGAAAAAATTATTGTAAAATGTTTAATCTTATTCATTACACTAATTTAAAAAGATACAAAAAATATTCACAAAAAGGTGTTTAAATAGGGTTTAAATTCGAGTAAATTAAGAAATGCTTGCAGCTTCCTAAAAAAATATATATATTTATAGCAAAAATGCAAAACAAAAAATCTTATGTCTTACAACAATTTTTCAAATAGTTTTCGTTATTCGAGTCAGCAATTGTTGCATGCACTCTGTGGGAATCTGTCATTCACAATTGTCCAAAAATTGTAACTGTCCGCTGAGATTTTTTTGCATTATTTTGCAATAATTTCTAATTAAATATTGGAATTCACTATAGGAACCAAAACAGTATATTTTTACTCTTGCAACTAACAATGGGAGTCGAAATGAAAATTTGGTACGATAATTTGAACCCGCGGTTTCTTTTGCATGCTCAACTAGTATTTTCTTGCAAACTTGGCAGTAATGCCATTGTCTCGTGGTTCCTTCGCTGAGCGAACCTCTGGCCACACTATCTGCGCCGCTGCCGCGAATCTCGGTCCACGTGAACAAATTTTGGGCAATGTGCTATTCCCGGACTCATGAGATAAAGTGATTGCGGTGTGCTTTGGAGTGCAGTGACGTTGGCCCACCTTGAACCGCGTGTGATCGTGATCCTCGGGCGGAACAGACAGACGCAGTTGGACTGTCGCACGAAAAAGCCTTTTTGAGGACCGGACTTGTGCTTGTGTTAGTGCTGCAGACGCGGCGCTCAACATGTGAGGTTAAAGCAGACGGACAAACAGACGGCGGCAACAATCCGAACAAGCGTTCGGTTGGGGAAGCCCTTTACGAGCGGACTAGGTGATCCGGAACCACAAAGGAAGTTCAAAAGGTATCATTACTTGGCGCGTGCCACAGATTGCCCATTGCGAATTCGATAGCGAATCCGCCGAGCTTTGGGGAGAAATGCTTTCCAAACAAAAGTGCCAAGATGTGAAATTGTGAAAAGTGGTAGGCAAGACCTGCAAAAAGAATTCAATTTGATTGCTATTCGCCAAGGAGCAAAATCAAAAGCACATGGCGTGGCGGCATTTTCACGCACACGCGCCCATCGCGGGCTCACATACACATACACGTGTTTGAGGCAAACATGTGCTGCTGCTACATGTTTGTTATTGTTGGCACTCGAAGTCTTTGGCTGAAACTCTGAGTCCAGGTCTATAAAAGTCCTGAAGATTGGTGTAAATCAGGTTTTCAGTAAGGCGCAAATATTTGATACCCATAAATCGTACAGTCCTCTACTATACCAAAAAGATAAAATAAAACTTTAAAGTATGTATGAGTGGGCATTAGTATTCAGTAATCCCCAACCGATAGTCCCACTGCCATAAGACAGTAGTAATATTTACAAAAATGTGTTTAGATTTCGTCACTGAGAAGCAAAAAATGTACCGTTGTAACCAAAGATTTTAAGTTAATCAACAACCTCCAATTTTCTACAGTTTTAATATTGCAGACCTGTATAGTTCTCTCCTACTTGCACACTACACTCGGTGTTTGTCGTCACTATGTGGGATGCCGCCCGCACTGTAGAAAATCTTAACTTAAATTAACTTAAAAAAGATTGAACTGAAATTTAAAAACTAGTTTGAATGCTTTTTCCTCTAATAATTTTAACCATGAAATATAAGTAAACACATTTTGAATATATTGTCAACCTTTCCCAACCCTATATTATTCAATCTTCCCTTTATTAAGGATTTAGTTTTAAATAATATGTTTTAGTTTAATTTTTTAGTATTACTCTGCTTTTTCACCCGCGGATGTAGTCCTTGTGCAAGTGTTGCATGCTTGTTATGCATTTTTTTGAAGATTTTTTCGCGGTCTGTGCCCAGTTTACAGAGCTGTTGCTCCACCTTATCCATAGTTTCGGTCGGCAGACGTGTATATGATTGTACATCAACGCCTCTGTTTGCAAGTTCGCCGAGCTGAAAAGCCAACTGAGCATTGGTGCCAGTAAGGACGAAGAAGCCTGTGTTTCCCAAAACCTTCATAGGCGGTCCAGGATCCCTGACAAGCTCAGCAGGATTGAAGCATAGTACTTTGCGGTCGAGACCTCCATGAGTTTTATCCTCCGAGCTATGAAGAACGTTTTGTATCATCGGCAAATCTATACTGTGCTCTGCTCCTTTTTCCGGCGGAATTCGAGATTTTGAACCGAGAAGGTTTCGTGTCGGCAAAACAGAGTGCAAATGCGTCTTAATTTGTACGCAAATTTTGGACATCAATGGCACGCCGGAGATTGAAATTTTATTGGTCGATTCATTGTTTATTCTTGGACGCAGTGTAGCAAATGTATTATCCTTATCAGATGTGGTATTTCGGAATTGTTCCGGGTTCAAAGCCTTTTTTTTTTCCTCCGACAAGAAAGCTTTCTTGTGACTAGTTAATCGAATTTTTTGCAGAGCGTCACACAGCTGAATGCTCTTTTTAGATTCGCCGCATGGTTGTTCTGAAGACGGAGTTTTTGGCTTCTCGTCCTTTCCATCTGAAGTCGTCAGGAGGATACTTTTATCATTTTTCTTTGGGTTTGCTACTTTTAAGTTAGGTGAAGGAGTCGAACTTGTGATTGAGGAAATCGGCGTTTCTCCTTTGATCCTGGGTTCATTATTCTGATTAGCTTCTTCCTTGGCCTTTAGCTTGATCTCTGCAGCTTTGCGTTGACGCCTAGTGATCACTTTTTTTGGCATTTCTGTTTTTTTTTTTACTTATTTTTATTTTATTATTTTTTGTGTAAGGGAAGTGATTTTCTTTTTGATTTTTCGATTGATTTTCGATATGACGTTTTGCTATTAAAAGCATACATATGTGGATTGATAACGAAAAGAACGCGTTGCTTGCTTTTTTTTTTTAGGATCACCCCAATTAAAAGGAGTTTATTTATTTGCAGTTAATTTACATTTGACGCAAAATGGATTCACGAATGCTAAATGTGTTCCAGGAAGACCCCTTTGAGGGAAACTATTCCAAATACGAGTCTGAGCCTAATTTCTGGTCACCGAGTGATGAGTAAGTAATTGTCATTAGAGAAAAATATACTTACAACTAATGTAAAACTTTTCAGACTGCAACTGACAGAAACACTTAGCGGTATCCTACCCATCGCGCCCACAGACGAGTCACTGCTCAACCATAACCGGGAGGAGGATCAGCAAAACAGAAAAAATCTGGTAGGTGTTGGCTCGAGTGGCACTAAAGGGAACACAGATTCCATCAGTATTAATTCAATTAAATCGTTGAATAGCTGATCTACAATGACTTCGTGGAACAGGAGCTCAGCGACCATGATGCCAATATGCTCAATGCCCAGGTTTATCGAGCCATCGCCGAAAGCGAGGTCGAGGTGGCCTATGAGCAGCAGCGCCAGATCAGCTCCATTGTGGAGTATGACAAAGAAGACATTAAAATCAACGGCCTTACAGAGGAGGAGGACATACAAAGTCAGTCCACATTTCGAACTCGCACAGACAGCTCTTCGATTGGTGATTATGAATCGCACTCTAGCGATTACGACGATGAATATGACATTGTCAACGAAGATAAAAACCCAAGGTTGTTAGCAGGTGTCCATAACAACATCGTCAACTTGCAGAGCTCTTGTGAGCGCAAGGGACGGACGCTTAGTACTAACACTATCATCTCCGAAGTAGACGCATTGGGGCTAAATATTGATGTTAATAACTTTGACCTAGCTGACTTTATTACCAAAGACGATTTCGCTGAGAATTTAAACGCCTGTCGCATAAAAGAATCTCTGCAAGCACAGGGGCGTACTAAATCTAATCCTTCAACAGAAGTTTCCTTAGTTCTTACTTCACCCGGTGCCACAATTGTGGCAAAACACATGGCCATTTCCGGTAACCCTCGCGATTCCGACTATGACTCTGACTCGATTATCGACGTTGAAACTGTCGATGTAATCGATGTGAATAAAGCTGTCTTGGCAATAGATAAGCCAGCAAAAATGGGCCAAACTTCCGATGATTTACGCTATGTAGACAATGTAAATGCCGATCCCTCCTGGAGTCCGAGACCCACGAAGAAGGTCACATCTACGTTTAAAGAGGTGAGTCCTAAGAATATATACTAATTTAAACATTGTTTATGACAGTAACTATCGTACTCAATACAGAATAAACCCGAACAACTGGAAACCCATCAACCAAGAGTGCCAGCCTTAAGCAAGCCGAAGCATACGAATATTTGCCTTGTGCCTAATAAAAAGCAGTGCGATTTTCTTAAACGTAAGGTTGGAACTTCCTCTTTGTCCAAGCCAGCAAAAGCGATAACAAAGAAAGTGAACGAGGCTATGAGCAACAAGCAGCCGCTGGTAAAACATACTCAATGTACGGGTCTCGGTTTGGGGGGAAAAAATCTTTCGCTTCTGAAGAAGGAGAAGGACGCCGCCGTATCGGCGTGTGCGGTAGAACCTTCAGCACCTCCAACCCTTCCGACCACAACCCTTACGTTGGCACCGCCAGCAAAGCGAAAGCTAAACCTAGAGGAGTACAAACAGCGTCGTTGTGGCGGTGTTGGCGTTGTAAATCTTAAACCAACTCCGCCCAAGCAGGCGAAAATAGAAGTTGCTAGCAAACGCATTGCTCCTTCCCCTGTTTTAAAAGCAACACCATCACCTAAAAAAGCGGAAATAGTCAACATTGTAAACAGCCTTAAATGTCCCAGCGCAGAGCAATCTTCTTTGCCCATGGATCCCATTACCGTGGCCAAGAACAAGGTGCTGCGTATGTTAGAGATGAAACGTGCCCAACAGCTTAAAATAATCGATTCCCGAGTATCAGCCAAGGTGCCACGCGTAACCAAGCTGCTGCCACTTAAGGATATTGTAAAGGACACCTATTGCATGGAAACTGAGGATGCCGGCGCAGAAATAGCGCCGCTCAGCAACAAACTCCACCCGGACTATGAGGAGATTATAATAGTTTCAGTTAGTTGTAATACAGACATAACGATACCACCCAATCAATTAAGCAAGGCCTCCCCTCGCTCTCTCTTAAAGTCATCAGTTTTACTGTACAACATCTCAAACGGTCAATATGCCAATAAGGACATAAGCAACTCCCTGATAGCCAGCATTCAAAGCGAGGTTGTTAGGCAAACCAGTAACACTACTCTCGCGACGATACAGTCCAACGAAAACCAAGTTAAATCTTCGGCTGATAAGAATTTTCAGCATGGCGAGGACATGGTCATCATGCACTTACCCAAGGATCGGGAACGCAAAACTCTTGTGAGCATTGCAATCCAAACTGATGTGCAACCTGAATTTCCCCTATTGACGCTGCCCCCAAAGCGACAGTCTCGAGAGCGTACGCGACGGCATTACCGCAAACGACGGACGCATGGATCGGGTTCAAATATGTCAACTTCTTCGAGTAACTCGTCCTCAAACTGCAGCCGCTTGGTGTCATACAGATCTCGCTCACGATGCGATTCGATCGATCAGCTGCCTAACTTAGATGTAGCAGCAACGTGTGGCGGAGGCAGTATTGGAAACGGTGGTTATTCTTCTCGTAGCACTCAACGTCATCGCAGCTCGGTGAGCTCTTCATCTTACTCAGAGAATGGCAAGTACAAGCGAAAACAGCGCCGCACCAGCTACAACAAGCGGAGATCCAAAAACCAAAAGCGGAGCAGTATTTCCTCATCATGCTCGGGCTCCGAGAAAAGCGACCGTGAACGTAGTCGCAGCCCGCACAGAAAATTGCGCCGCTCGCGGTCCCGTTCGCGCTCAAACCCTGATACACGCTACCCTAGCAACAACTCCTCCTATAACAACAATCGGCGAGGATTTGCGGATCGTAACGTGTCGCAACCTGCTGTTGAGGAGCGGCGAATCGTCTACGTCGGGCGCATTGAGCAAGAAACCACCAAGGAAATGCTGCGTCGAAAATTTCTGCCCTATGGAAGCATTAAGCAAATAACAATACACTACAAGGAAAATGGGTAGGGAAAGGAAGCGGCAAGATTATTTAAAATTGGCTTTTAACACACTTTATTTTAGAATGAAGTACGGGTTCGTTACGTACGAAAGAGCGCAGGACGCATTTACGGCTATTGACACAAGTCATAGAGACTCGCAAATAAACATGTATGACATCAGTTTTGGAGGTCGACGTGCTTTCTGTCGTGCATCCTACGCTGACTTGGGTGAGTTTACTACCTTTGGCATAATGTTATGTACCTTTTTATCTAACTTGTCTCTTGTAGATAATGCTGGCATTAATAATTACAACTCATATGTGTTTCCCAAGGAAGCACCAGCACCGAAGGTAGCTGAGGATTCATTCGAAGCCTTGTTGCTTAAGGTAAAATCAAAGCTGAGCGCTGGCAAGTCCCCAGTAGCTACATCTACGCTGGATGCACCATCAGCTCCAGAGTCTGTACCACAGGGCCACAGTCAGATATGACATTTTGGCAAAATCCTGTTTAATTTCGTATTTTTAATTTTTTTGGAGAATTTAAACTATGTTACAAGCATTATTTTACGATCCTTGCACAATTGTAGAACAATTTCCGAAGTTTCTATCTATAAACCTGAAAAGCCTGATTACAATTCATAATTTATCATAAAATAGTTGACAGAGCTATGTATTGCAAGCAATAAAACTAATGCAATGTACATTAGGATAATTGTAATTACCGCGAAGGAAACCTAACAACAAGAATGGAAAAGAAAATTGAATTGTGATAACCGCGTAATGTATACAAAGTCATTTAAAGCATGTAAGTTAGCAGAAGATCAATAGAAATAAATCCACTCATAAAAGCTTTGTAATAATCACTGTAACAACCAAACCAATGGAACTTAAAGCAACTAGCCACCACAACAATAATAACAACTCAAATTCATTAAAACTATTAAATGTGTATAAGAACTATGTATTTTGAGAGAGAGCAAGAAACGCGCATGCAGCTTGCGTCGGCCACGAATTAAACTGTTGATAACTAAACTTTGATATTAGTTTGTAAAGAGCATATTTTGTACGTACTTTTAATTTACTCCGTAATTTTTGAATAGCAATTACATCAAATACAGAAGCTCCACTAAAGCTATTATAAATACTTTAAAATGTAGCATTGAAATTATTAGTTAGGCTTGTTTCTCTTTTCAAATTTTATTCCATAAATTCTAACAATTCAAGCACTGACTTTGAAAGTAGTCTGTGCATCACTGTTACGATTTCTTTGGATTATTAAGTTTAAAATAAACAAGTTAAACAATATAATTATTTTTGAAAACAACTTGCCAAACAAGAAAATGTCTTGTAATTTTATTATTTGTCTATCGATATGCCGAAATCATTTTGACCATGCCCACTCTAACGCACACAAACAGAACAAAACTCCCACTTCCACACCTTTAAATTTTGTTTTGATTAATTTAATTTTTTGTTTTCCAATTTCTCTCGATTTGCAGAAAAATGTAAATTATAGTCGGGGAATCCGACTATAGCGATCATTCTTGTTTATTTTTGGCAAGAGTATCGATCAGATAAATTTTACTTAAATCGGTTTTAAAGAATAATTTGCTAGCGTTTTTGAAATAAGGAAATTACATTTGGAATATAATTAATACTCAGCTTTGTTTGCCCGTTAAAACCAGGTACTTCCTATGTCAGGGATCTTTTTGTTTCTGTGATCCCCTTGCGGTCGACACGGTGCTCAACTCTTT